CTCTGCTTGGGACACGACTACTGGTTCAGCTGTGTGATTTCGCAACTTGGTTTTATGTATATCGCTCACACTCATATTCCTTGCAATTTGGTATCGGAGCTGGTTGCGATCGCCGCTTACCTGGCACCGGCGACATTGTGACTTGGTGCGCTGCTTCATGTGCAATGAGGATACTTTGCACTGGTTGATTAGCGGGGCCTAGGTAAAGAGGCCGACCGCTGGAAGGCTGTGGCGACAACGTGGGAGCTGTGGCGACAACGGGTGTATGCATGATGATGAGAGTATGCTGACGTGGCATTTTGACTGAGGTGGCACTGCATTGCCTTGTGGGTGGTACCGAGGCTATTGACCGGTCATCGAAATGCACGTCGGCCCAATTGGTGGGAAATCTGTGGTTGAGAGGGCAGCTATCTCCAGGTACGTTGTTCCCATTCCTTATCTACCCTCTCAATCTCTTCTTACCGTGAGGAAGTGAGTCCAACTTRAGAGTCCTCTCTTTGGTGAGGAGTCGTGTGCGCTCTATCTTGAGAGACGACATTCTTCCCGGGGGCGCATCTGGCAGGAGAGGGCGGTGCCTCTGAAGGGCCCTGGTCGAAGCACGGGTCACGGTCACCATGCCAACCCATGGGTATTAGTACACGCAGGCCATGCTGCTTTGTCCATTGAGGCTCTTTGCTGCGCTGATAGAAGGGGTGTGCGGACTGACCAGTCCTATTGAGACGCTCCCAGACCGTCCATAAACAGTTCTGATTGGGGTCTGATCTGTCCACTGGTTGTGATCGTCATCCTGATTGCGACGTTAAAGAATTCATGAGGACTCCAGGGGTTGTCCTTAAATTGCCTCTTGATCAGCCAGATCAGTTAGACGTAAGGCTCGTTGCACGTGAGGGTAAACAAAGGGGCAGCCTGGTCATGTCCTTAAACTGCCTCTTGATCAGCCAGATCAGTCAGACGTAAGGCTCGTTGCACGCGAGGGTAAACAAAGGGGCAGGCTGGTCATAAGCATACTTCTTGGGCACARGGGTGGGYCGTGGTTGCACACCTTAGACMCSRCAGCTTGATGATGCTCACAGGTACGTTGGATACAGGGGAAGGGGATTCCAATTGTGAACTCAACTGTACATCACTGACATATCCATTGTGCATACATCTGCTCACATTAGTCTAAGCTTTATTTTGATTAGTTGGTTGACCGACTGCTGACACCTAACAGACAGAATAGAGTAGGACTGTAATCTACCATAGTCAGTTCTTCTCAAATCTTCTGTGCAGGCTAATCATAATAGAGTTAGACAATGTGTACAGTATGTGTAGATGTTGTTGATGCCGCTTGACTAGTAGACTAGGTAACCCGGCGGACATTTATTTAATTATTTATTTTTAGATCCGGACCGACGCATGCTGCGGTAGGTTCCAGCGAGGACATTAGTGCAGACAGCGTCTGCCTAACCTATGAGTGGATCAGAGGGTGGTGAAGTTGTAGATGACGATAGGAGGATAACAAGGCTATCATCCCTTAGAATTCCTAGAGTGTTCCAGGCCCTACAACCAGGAGAAGAGAGAAGATTAAGGGCTGAAGCTAGGGCCCGTAATCTTGAGGCTGCAAGAGAAGCAGCAGCAGCTAGGGCGGTAGCAATGGCTACTGCTGCAAACTCAACTGGTCAAGGGCTAGGCATGATGACCAGTTCACAGTCCACCTCCAATACGTCAGGGGTTGGCACTATTCAGATGGCGGGCTCGCAGTTCAGCTCGCCGCCTCCACGCACCCGGGAGCAGATGGAGCTCCAACAAGTAGAGAGGATCCGCTTAAGGCTAGAGGAGGAACTTAGGCAAGTTACTAAGAGAGAGAAAGAGATAAAAGAAAGAAGTAGCAGACTAGAGAGCAGGGAGGCAGATTTGGCTGCGCTAGAGGGTTTAGACGACACGGCCCTTAACTCTACAGGAAAGATCCTTAAGGCAAGTGTCATATCCATGCATGCGTACATAGTTAGCAAGATGGACGCCATGCGGGATACCCTAGACCAGATTCTGCAAGCGCTGCATAAGCCAGGGATCCTGGCAGCAACTTTACCATCGCTGCCACTCTCAGCAATGACGGGCCTCTATGCTGCTTAGTCTGCACCACCACCAAGTGTTACATCAACAACAACTCTATCTCATACTGTTGTTTCTTCATCTTCTGGTCCAGCGACTGTAGCTACACCACAGTCGCCACCTGTCTCACAAGCGGGACAACAATATCCTTGGTATCCCAAGACCCCCCTGAACCCACCTTCAACCTTCTCAGGAGACAAGAAGGATGAGGCTCTTGACACGTGGTTGAGAACGGTGCCAGTGTGGGTGAGGGCAAAAAGGACATCGGTAGAAGAGGAAGTGATAAATGCTGCATCCTACTTAGAGGGTTCAGCAGCCCGCTGGCTAAACGGATTAGTAGCTTCCCAGGGGTTCGGCAGGAACATGGGAGATTGGGCGCAGAGCCATACCCTGGAGAGCTTTATGGACTTAGTGGAGACTCGTTGGCACAACCCTCAGCAGGGACAGATAGCCACTAATGGGCTCTTAAAGCTTGATACTAAAAAGTACAAGTCAGTGCGAGAACTCACTACAGTCGTGGAGCGTCTGATCGTCATCGCGGGAGTGGAGTACAATCCACAGGTCTTGCTGACCATGTTACTGAGATGTCTTCCCACAGACATTAGGAATTTATTATCCAGCGAGGCTCGACGCGAGTATCACACTTTTCAGTCATTCGGCAAGAAGGCCCTAGACTTAGAGGCTACGCTAAGTGGAGCTCAAACCCCTTCTACAGATGGAAGAAAAAAGAAGACTCCACAAGAGTGGAAAAAGAAGGGTAGTCGATTGATGATGGTTGATTCCGATGGGAATCAAACTGAGATCGATTATGTTTCTGAACTTGTGGAGGACATAGAGTTTGACGGCGAGGAGAGTGGGCACGGGCGAACCTGACGGACGCAGGAGGACTGAGGGTAGCAACCTCGCCGCAGTAGTTAAGTCTAAGGCAACGGGCCACGACAAGGGCGGTCAGCAAAGGAGTCAGGGGCAGGCCGCCAACCCAAACAAAATAGCAGCTTGGGTTAGAGCAGGCCTGGATCAAGATGTGTGGCGGGACCGTTGGCAGCGGGGAACTTGCATAAACTGCGGCGAGTATGGCCATACACAGTTAAAGTGTAAGAACCCGAAGGTCTCGCAGAAGATCCCTCCTAAGGGTGGGTTTTCTTCTTCTCAATCTGGGGCCTCTACGAGCTCCATCTCGGGAAACACTTAGGGCCAGTAGAAGTTATAGCTGCTTCTACTCTCGTTGAAGCGGGTGATGTACCCTCCCCGTTTCAAGAGATGGCCAAAGCTATTGACTCCTTAGTCACCCCGTAGACGCATCCGGACCCAACTATACTCTGTACATTGGATGTGTCTGAGGCCTTAGAGGACCTTCAAGGTGAGTGGTCGGCAAGGGACCCTCGTGAGTCCTGGGTGGCACTGAGTAGAGGTCCTAGAGGGGAGCACTTCGTTGTCGAAGTTGATGTGGGTGGTCGCAAGTGCGGCGCCTTTGTAGACATTGGCTCCACGCGAACCTTTATAAGTCGCGACTGCGTTGACAGACTGTGCCTAAAGGACCGGGTGCAGCGCCTTAGTAGACAGGTAGCATCTACTTTGGCCAACAAAGAGCGCATGATGGTGGAGGACTACGTTAAAGATGTAGTCTGCACCTTCTCGTACCAGGAGGAGAGATAAACCATAAGATATCATTCCTGGTGAGCGACGAGTTGCCCTTTGACATGTTATTGGGCATGTACTACCTGGAGGTTGCCAAGCCCCAGTTTGACTGGGACAAGAAGGTGTTGAAGCACGAGTTGCCTAGTGGGAGAACCGTTAGACTGGCCAAGTACAAAGCCAGTAGGTCAATACACTCCTATGGGTGCTTATGCGCATCTGCCTTTTATAATTATTATAAACAGAACCAAGAGGAAGGAATGTACTTAGTCTATGTCTTTGCAAAAGGGAAGGCCGTTAAAACACCCCCAGAGATAGAGACCATCGTCGCCAAGTACCCTGATCTGTTCGAGGAGCCTACAGGAGTCGTCGACATGGAGATTGTCCATGCCATAGAGATCATCCCAGGTAGTAAAACACCTAAGGGAATAATCTATAGGATGTCTTCAGCTGAGTTGGACGAACTTCGGCGGCAACTGAAAGAGCTCACAGAGAAGGGTTGGATTGGGCTTAGCACTTCCCCCTTTGGCTCACTAGTATTGTTTGTTCCAAAGAAAGGGGGAACACTAAGGATATGCATTGATTATAGAGGCCTCAATGCCATTACCGTTAAGAACGCAGAGCCTGTACCACGCATCGATGACCTATTGGATAGGGTGCAGGGATGTAAGTACTATACAAAGATAAACTTAAAATCCGGCTACCATCAGATTGCCATAAGACCAGAGGACCAGCACAAAACCGCATTTCAGACCAGGTACGGTCTGTACGAGTTTGTGATGATGCACTTTGGCCTTTGCAATGCGCCGGTTACATTCCAGCACGCCATGAATAGGATCTTCCATGACTACTTGGACAAGTTTATTGTCGTGTACCTCGACGACATACTTATCTTCAGTAATTTGTCGAGGAGCATGCTGAGCATGTAGACATAGTACTTTCACTCCTTCGACAACACAAGTATAAGATAAACGTAGAGAAATATGAGTTCATTTGCACTCGAATCTTGTACTTGGGTCATGAAGTATCCGCGGATGGGATTAGGCCCGAAGATGCAAAGGTGGCCAGTATACGTGACTGGCCACGACCCCAGTCTGTGACTGAGGTCAGATCATTCTTGGGAATGTGTGGTTATTACCGCAATTTCGTAAAGAACTATAGTACGATCGCATCTCCCTTGACTGATCTAACTCGACTTGACACAATATGGGACTGGACCGACGAGTGTGAGGCAGCTTTCAAGCGTTTGAAGCATGCTCTCACGCACCATGAGGTTCTCATGGTACCCGACCCGCAAAGGCCATTTGTTGTAACCACTGACACAAGCCAATATGAGATTGGCGCAGTGCTGGCTCAGCAGGAAGGGAAGAAGTTGAGACCGATCGAGTACATGCCTTCAAAGAAGTTGGCAAAGTCCACCTACGAGAGGGAGCTCTATGCTCTTTACAAGGCACTTGTCCACTTGAGGCACTATCTGTTAGGAAGGTTCTTCTACTTGAGAACTGACCATCAGACCCTCAAGTGGATCAAGACGCAACCAGTTCTCTCCGATGCACTCAAACGCTGGATTGAAGTCATAGATCAATATGATTTCAAACTAGACTATTTGAAGGGAGAATACAACAAGGTTGCAGATGCGTTGTCTAGGAGGGCAGATTACCTAGGTGCGCTGATTTCTGAGTTTGGTTTGTTTGAGGACGTGACTCGATCGTTGGGAGAAGCCTACAAGGAAGATCCCATCACGATGGACATCATTAACAAACTTCAGGCCAAAGACAAGGCCACCTCTGATGAGTTTGTGATGGTGGATGGGTTACTCTTTCTTGAGAAGGCAGGGTTCAAAAGGTTAGTTGTTCCGTCTAGGGAAACTTTGCGTAGTTTATTTTTAGGTGAGTGCCACGACGCAATTGGACACTTCGGCTATAAGAAGATTAGTGCTAATTTAGTACAACGATTCTGGTGGCCTAACATGCTTGACGATGTGAAGAAGTATGTGGAGACCTGTCAGGTCTGTCAAGGGGACAAGCCGCGGACTCAAGCTCCGCTTGGGTTACTCAAGCCCCTACCCATTCCTGCTGGCCCAGGGCAGAGTATCTCCGTGGACTTCATGGATACTCTTGTGACCAGCAAGAATGGCAAGAGGCACATTTTCGTCATAGTAGATAGGTTAACTAAGTACGCTAGACTAATCGCCATGCCAGAGACTGGCAGGACTGAGCACGTTATCAAGTTGTTCATGGACAACTGGGTGCGTGACTTTGGACTTCCGAAGACCATCGTTAGTGACAGAGATGTGAGATTCACAAGCGAGATGTGGAAGAAGACCGCTGAACAGATGGGCAGCCAGCTTCGGATGACTTCTGGGAATCATCCCGAAGCAAACGGGCAGGCTGAACAGATGAACCGAGTGGTGCAGCATCTGCTGAGGCATTACATCAAGCCCAGCCAGGGCGACTGCGATGAGAAGTTACCTCTCATCGCCAGTCTGTACAACAACGCTGTACACAGACCATCGGTGTCAGTCCTAATCAACTACATCTGGGATGGAAGCCTAGATATGCTCTAGACTTCCTTCTGCCTGAAAACCGAACTGCTGCAACTCCTGGAACCATTGAATTTGGTGTCCAGTATGAGAAACTGCTGCAGCAGACTGTCGAACACATCAAGAAATCTCAGGAAGTCATGATTGCTTCTGAGAACAAGCGTCGCCGACAGTCCACATTTCAGGTAGGGGAACGTGTCTGGGTCAAGGCTAGTGAGTTGGGATAGGAGTTTGGCATCTCTAAGAAACTAATGCCTCCGTATTTCGGTCCCTGGGAAGTCCTGGACATTGTGGGGAATGATTTGGATGGTCCCTCATACGTCATCCGTATCCCTGGTCACTTACGCACTTACCTTGTTTTCCATGCTTCCAAGCTTGCACCTTTCGCTGAGACAACACAGTTCCCATCACGGAGATCTATGCTGCCCCCAACCATGGATGGCCACGCGGACGTTGACAACATCCTGGATCACAGAGACACGCCAGTTCCTAAGCTACCTGGCAGGGGAAGACCTCCCAAACCTGCGAGGGAGTACAAAATACATTTCAGGCATCATACAGATCCGAAGGAAGATCGATGGATTTCAAGGGAGGAACTTGTCAAGACAGCTCCTCAGATCGTGGCAGAGTATGAGAAGAAACTGAAGGGGAAGGCACCAGCATGAAGCATCTCAGCGGACTTTCGAAGCTAAGGGGGATGGAATGTGAGGAACAAGCCCTCAAGGGGCCCTATTAGACATCACATTATTCTGGGCTAAGGCCCCCAGCAAGCCAAGTGTCCGCCCTAAGTGAAGGCAGGACTGAATATTCGTCACAGACCAGAATTCGACATTTCCATATGTGGGTATTCAGGCTCTCGCAGCGCATCAGTTGGTTGAGTGAACGCGCGAGCCTCACTAAGTTGCGTCGTACAGTTGGCCCAGCCCACGAAAGTTGTGCCCAGGCATATACACACAAAGCAGGGCCGATACATTGAGAAGCAGGCCGTCGGCCTTGGGAAAAGCAGTACTGCCGATGCATCTATCTGGGGCCCATGCGCAGATACAACAAACGGCCAGGCTGTGCCCAACTAAAAATGGCCCAGGCCCTCAACTGTAAGTCTCGGGCCTGGGCACAGGGTCTGAGGCCCAACCGGAGGGTACTGGAAGCTTCCAGCCAGGCCAGACGCA